CTATATATATATATATATATATATATATATAGACATACAATATTTCCAAATCCAGTGCCTTTATGAATCAGATTAAAACGTTGCCATGGACAATTTTCAAGCGAAATGCGGGTGTTGCTTTTATTTTACGTTTTCCTGGTAGAATGCATTGCGTGTGACAAATCATTGTTTTTGCAAGCCGCAAATTCTGCGTTGGTATGAAATGCAGGTGATCGCGGTCAACCAATGTTCCGGCGTGTTGTTTGATCGACGAACCGTTTACGGCGTCATTAGTGCATTGTTGGTGCGACGATGTGTTGCACCGCTAATCAGCGACAATGTGTTACGCGAAATTATATTATTCCTCTTACAGTATGCGCGTATATATTAGATTATCGACGCTTTGTGTGTGTGATAAACATCTTAAAAATAATATCTCTTAATTCTAAGGTTTCTAAACGCTTATATATTTGTTAAGTAAAAAAAATAATGTAACGCGTGACTTTTCAAGAACAAGAAATGATGTAGAAGATAATAAAAATCAAAAGCGCGGTTGTCAGAGCGCAAGAACTACTAGCTATTATAAATTAATATGCAAAAATATAAAAAATATGTTTTAAAAATATGTTTACAATTTCAAATTCTCTTCAATTTAATAGCATATAAGAAAGGAAGAAAAAGGTTTAGGTTGCATATAGGAAAATATTAAAAATCTGTACTCTGACGTGTTGTGCCAAACGGTGTCTGCACGTGCGGTCGGTGAATCTATTTTTTGTTACACTATTTTTTTTTTTACTTTTTAACCACTTTTATGTATTTTTTAATATTTTCCATGCCACCTAAATTTTTTCTTCATCAAATCACATTTTTTGTATTTTTTGTATAGCAAATTTAAAGGAGCGTGTATTATTTTTAGAATTTCAAGCATGTTGCGAATTTAAATTCGTTATTAGTAACATTGTGTCGAGAGTAGTTACGCATTCCTTGCAGCACGCAGAATATAATAAAGTCGCACATGACGAGACAACATACATTATATTTCTAGCTGCAAATCCGGATTTCACCTAATCTGGATAATAACACACTGTGCTGTAAAATGTCCCACAAATAGAGAACATGCTTTACATTAATATTATAAGAGTATAATGTTATATGTCTTATTAATGCAATTCGCATATTCATATATTAGACTTGTGTCGAGAATAGTCATTTTCCATTGAACAATACTCTGCAGTTTTTGTAATTTTAAATTAGAGTCATATTATGTAAATATATAATGCATGTTGCATCGATTTGATGAAAGTTCTACTACGACTAAATGCAATTTGTTCGGTAATTAAATGGAAAACTTTTATGCATAGTGTCTATTGCAACAGCATGCTTCTAACGAAACAAGTGTAATGCGAACGTATATAATTCATGAGTATATAATTACCGGATATTGCTTTGCTATTGTACGACGCACTAGGACTAGATTGTCTCTAATTGTGATTAATCTATATGATAGGATATAATAAGTAACTTTACCTAAGTAACTTTACCTTTACCTAACCTAACATAACTTTCGTTATAAACAAAAAACTTATGTAAAAAGTTGCATTCGTTTTTATAGTAACAAATTTTTCTTGCATTTGAACGTTAAAATTTAACGTGAAATGTTATAGAAACGCGCTTTATAAAATATTATTAATAAATTATAAGTATTATAAAGTATAACGTTTTATGGAAAAAAATGTAGGAGCTTATATAATTGCATGTAATACTAGTCTTGACCTTTAATACAGTCGATAAATAAAGCCTACACCCTGTTTACTTAATCACAGTTTAATTAAAGACAGTTTAATTAAGTACCTTTCAATTATGTAAAACACGCTTGACTTGTAATTCAAATACTATATTCAATGATACGACTATCATTTTAATATTTTATTAAAGTGCTGAGAGACATAGGGAATACGTTATAATAGGAATTTAATGCTCGTTAAAGGATACCGCCTCTATAGAAGAGATCTTTGCCACAGAATGTGCATCAAAGAGCCCATAATGGCGCATGGAAGGCTTTGTGACAATACCGTATTGGATTGTAAACTAGTTCGAACATAACATTAAAGTAGAAAATCGATCTGTCATTATTATAATATTTATATTTATATATATATATATTATTCAAAAAAGAGTAAATCTCAGAAAGAAATTAATACAAATAGATATTTTATAACGCATTTTATGCATTATTCAATAAAAATAAAGAAAAACTATATCATATATTGAGGCACGTACGAGTATGTTGAAACCAGATTTTTATGAATTGCCTTTTATACGTATCACCTGTGTTTGCCTTTTATCGTGTCGCCGTAGATGACCTCGTTATTTTTCGACAAATACAGCGAGTGTGTTATGCCAAATAAATGGAAGCATAGTGTAGACCAAATGTTTTCTCGTATTGTTCTCATATTGTTGGAACTCTCTCTTTTCCTCTCTGATATAAAAAAGAATAACATTGTCGCGAAATACTTTTGTTTCTACAAAAAATAGCAAAGTTATGTGTATTCTGTATAAATCCATCTTCTATCTTACTATACCAAATGATATACGTAGACCAAAAAAAAAGCGATAATGACGTTGAGGCGTTAAATGCGCTAATTGACCATGCAGAGCCGCCATTTATTAATGACTAATTTATGGTGTGCTTTTCCATACGCCGTATCGATTATGTCATGATTTATGTCATGATTCGAGTAGCTCGTTTGATATGTGCATAAAAACTTCTTTGAATGTCTATCGGAATATCCTATAAACTTTGCGTTTTTTCCAGCTAATAATTTTGCAATTAGTTTTAATTGATTTTTTAAAATTAATTAATTATTAATTAATTATATCTTTTCTCTTAGATTAGAAGATAGAATCTATTAATAAATAAGTTTTTAATTTATTCAATTAGATTTTTTAATAAAATTGTATCAACTAGAGGAAATAAAAGTAGATAAATTAGAAATCACTGATTGTTGAACAAAGCATTCGTTGTTAAAGACCTTAATAGATAACATCTGTTACGCTAGATTAGTTGTCAGTATTAATGCAAATTGACAGAGGCAATCGATTCTCGGTCTCTTGGCTATTGGAGAAATCCCTAAGGAGCTGTGGATACACTTAGATTCGAATTTATACCTTAATTGCAGCAAGACAATAATACTCAGATTAAATGCTCGTATTAGAGAAACAAATCGTAATTGTAAAATATAGATGACTAGTCGATTTACTGATTTGCAAGATTATTTAATGTTTAGATTAGATAGTTTCGCGCATCATATTTTCTTCATTTTCTCTCTGTGCACTTTTTTAATTTTATACAACAAATAAATTGATACAGTAAAATTTAATATTTATAAACATTTAATTAATATTTATAAATATTTATTTTATATTTATTAATTATATTTATTGCTTATTAATTAATTTATGAGTTATTTACTTATTGCTACATCCACAATCTCTCATCTGATTAAAAGTCACTACAACGTATCGCTACATGTGTCAATGACTCTATACGCAAAAGTAAACAACACTGAATCCACTGTTTGGATACTGGTGATATTAAAACGATCAGAGTTTGTGACAATAACCGATTGGGAGTTCTAAATATTCGAATGTATATATGCGCTTAACGCGCAACATATGTATACCGAAACAAGAAGGCTTGGTCAAGTGTCCCAAATACAGATCGTGAACCACAAAATGCAATTACGAAGGGTGATGACCCTAAAATGAGCATAATCGCAGCAGTTACAATTCCGTAGAAGCGCCAAATTACCAAAATCATAGATAGTTCAAGAGAATGTTCCACCTTCTAAGCTGTACACAAGTGATGTGTGTGTACTATGGTATTTTTAATACGGTTCGAAAAAGAAACAGAAATTCCGGAGAAATGTTAATGAGAGCATTATCATTAGGAAATTTTATAGATCTCTGCAAAGTTATATCTTAAACATGTATTGTAAGAAATAAGAAGTGTACGAATTTTGAAATTTATTTAAAAAATTATATATATATATGCACTTTTTTTTAGTATTTTAATATTTCTTTAACATCTGCAGTAGTTTTTATTTGTGTGTCGACAGTTATCTACATTGCAAGTTTTGTAAGTTATTACTAGCAGCTTGTTCTAATTTATATGCTGCTTTAAATTACATGCGTGCTTTAAAATTGCAAGGAAATTATTTAATTAAGTGAAGATGCGAGTCTAATTAACCTAAACCAGCAGCAGTATTCACGTAATGTGATATTATAATATTTTAATTACCTGGCAGCAATGCCGCTATTACTGCGTATAATTCCGGCATCCATGCTAAAGATGAAAATCCGTGTGGATCCGCGGTACCATTTGATACTGTGCAGCCCCTCACATTGTGGTAATTTCAGGTTGCAAGGTAACAAAACCTCCATTCCTAGTTCGGCATACCTTTCAGTCTTCTGCCACGAGTCGCTTCCTAAAACAAACATAGGCAATTTTAACAACGATGCAAAATTGAATCCATAATTGAATTTCTATTGAAGCTGTAAATATCGATAGTAAGAGCGAGCGAATAATCAGAGAGCAAGTTGTTTTATTGCGCGGTTTCGTACTTTATGAGGATGCACTGTCGTATCAGAAAACTTGCGCAATTTCATGCTTCGGATACCGTAAACCTTAGGTCTTATGCACGTAGACGTTAAATCTTATAATCCATGAGAAACAAAAAGTTATAAGTTATTATAGTAGTATTTCTCATTATTTATTGTATACTGTCACGGAGTATATCATAATATAAGCAAAAAGCTAATAAAAATAGCTATAGATATTAAAGAAAAATTAAAATATAAAAAATAGTTTGTTCGTAATTTATTATTTTTTTACATAATTTTCAAAATTTGTGCTATTTTAGTCAAATGAGCATTTTTATTTTGTATATATCTATTTTTTCGTTTCAAAGTCTTTCAATACAAAAGTTAAATCTAACTTATTCTTTAATATAAAAATTATATTCAACATGGAAAAGTCTTATTGCTTATTAAAAAAACAAGATAGATAGTTAATCAATACGGTAACTGATACAGCGTGCGCGTAGAGCGGAAAAGCTTGGCTTTTCAGTGAGCACGAAGTGCACACGGCGAATTGCCTAGATATAAGAGTCGGATTCTGAAGCCATATCGTGTGGCATAGTAAATATTACATCTAAGTAGAGAATAATGGAGAACGTCAGAGAGAATCGCATTACGAGTTTCTGCCCGTCTCTCGCACGTGCGAGAAGTTTGTTTTTTAGCTACTTTCAGCTCGTATGTTACAGAACGACTCTTCATTCGATTATCCTTCTCTAAAGTGTTTCTTTGAAAAAGGAAATCCGTTGTCTCACACTTTGTACAAAGTTACATAGAACAGTATATTTTTTTATAATACATGTTGAGGACTTTTGCGATCGCGAGTAACATAAACAAAATACTGAAGAAATACTTGAGATTTAAAAACATTACAACGGAAGAAAAAATCATCATATTAGTATTATTATATGCGCTGCGTAATCACGGATTCTTTTATTAAAATAAAAACAAAAACTTCATTTTCTAACGCTATTTTCTCGTGAAAAAGCGCATTTCAAAGTTTTCTAATGCATTTTGTATAAGTACCCATTATTTCCCGATTTATAGAAATTTTTAAGTGATGGGTAAAAGAGGAAGTATAGATAACATATTCGTAATAACTTTCCGTACCAGCCGGTGTTACCAGCGCGATCGAGAGAACAGATGGGATATGAACATTTGAACACGGAAGATTGCGATTTATGGGCTTTGCACAAATATCTACAAACAGTGATTTATTGGCCGAATATGGATAGATGTCCATCACTGTCGATTGAATTTTCGCTGACTTTGTATGGTTTAAGTAACTTTATGTATTCTAATTCTGAAACTGAAGAATCAATTTGGAAATTTGCGCAAGATTAATTCTACATATCTACATACATCATCCATATTCTATTCCTTATCTTGTTATCGCGCTTTCTGTGAAACTTTGTATGTCAGGCTCCACGAGACGCAACTGTTGAAATTTATGAATATTACATTAAAAAACTAAAATTGTTTTCAAGATATTAAATTAGAAAAAAGAAAGAAAAAAGAACAAATCAGTAGCAGAAGTTAAAATTCAACCTCAGAGTTAAAATTTAATTGAAAATTTAATAATCTGATGAACTACATAATTTACGAGAGAACATTCTTATTACGTTAGTAATAAATATTTTATGTTAACGTAAATTAAGTTAATGTTACAAATTTCTTTTCTTAAAGTAGGATGCTGTAATTAAATGTTGAAAAAACCAATTTTATCGAGAAAAACGCTGTACTTTTTTATTAAAGGCTTTTTCAATCTTTATAGAAGGAAAATATTTAGTAAGTGAGCTAATATTTACATAAATGAGTATCCTGAAGCGTCTGAAAAGTAGTTTGAAACATTGCGATGAGAACGTTGTTTGTGGAGCATGCTTCACGCCTAACATTATTAATTAATAGGATTTGCGGTTAAATTTCAGCATGTATAAATGTTACATGCACTCATAAAATTTTTATAAGCTCAAAAACGGGCATTAACAATGATAATTATTGCGCTTGATGTACTTTCAGTTTTAGTTAGCTTTTGTCAGTCGAAACTTCTTGTTTGAAGGAAACCACACGAGTACGACAGTGCGAAATATTGCACGTGCACTTAGTCGTCTTATGAGCTTGTTGCTAATAAATTAACTAAATAATTGTCAATATAATTTTGATAGTGAGTTGAAAAAGATCGTCAATCTTAAACCGTCTTTTATTTTCTAAATTGTTAATAAAAAGTTTTTTTAAACTAAGAAAAGTAACGCTCAATTTTAGTTGAAATCTTGTGAATACTTTTTATGCTACGTTGTTCTTTAAAAAATTAAAAATTTTAAGAAATTAATGAAAATTACGTTACATTTAATTGTTGTATTAACATTGTCAATGTCATGTATCAAGTCAGGCAGGTGAAATGTAGCATATTTTTCTCTCGAATTCATTTTTCCACATTCTACAATGAGATGTAATGGATAAAGATCGGAAGGTTTCTTTTTCTTAGTTTTTACTTTGTTTTACTTTATTTTGGGTATTTTTCCATGACGGACAACGTAACGTTTTTTCTCTTTGAAGTAGTGAGTTTGCCAGCAAAATTTCGTTAAATCTGTTTGTTTCTGATATCATTTATATATAGAATATTTTGGAATTATCGTTTGTTTCCTCTTTTACATAAGTGTTGAATGAAATAACGATAACTACGAATCAAGTGGTATGTAGCTAAATCGATTATCGTAGCATCTTAACGCTTCAGCAGTCACAATTAATGCCGTTAAAGCTATGTTTTATGACTAAAGCAACCAACTATTCAAAGCCGTTCAAATGGAATTGGCATCGTATTTCAACGTTCAATCGATTACAGAAGATTACATATCACAGCCAAGTGCAAAATTGAGTATTTTGATTTTTTCCGAAAGAATTACTACGAATATGCATGTTTGCTGGAGAATTTTATTTTCGGCCGTAGTTATTCAGATGGCGAGTGCAATCGGGAAGTTTACTGTCAAACCTACATAAAATTAGTAGCGTTTCGAGATGTCGACGTGACTCCGGAGGCATTAAAATGTAAAGTAAGCACTACGCTTTGGTGCGAGCGCCGTTGCGGAAGAGCACGTGCAGATAACGACGTTCTATCGTGGAGGCAGAAAAAGTTATCGACCTCGGATGCTCCGACGCGTGCTTAACCCATTTCGAAATTATACAAATTGCAGCCTGCATTAGCATAGAGTCGGTACCGGGAGACAGAGTAGGCCGAGAGATGGCTGGACGGGAATTAACCTAGACGGAGATTTAGCGCCAAGACAAACGATGCGCATATAAATATTGGAAACGCGAAATTTATGACGCCTACCCTAGCGGTATGCATTTAATGAGACGCCCAAAGCGCGCTTCTTGTTGATAAATACCCGATGAATACGAAACGCTTCTGTTGAATTTGTTCTTATGTTTAATCACACTGTAAGAAAAAAGTATTGATATTTGGAACTCTTTTTCTGTAATTGTGCACAGTAAAAAAAATGTAATGTGTCTTAATAATGTTTTTATATATTTTAATCGATTTTTTTTAATTTATCAATTTGTCTATTTATTATTTATATATTATCCCAAATGTTTTGCATACAGCACCTAATAAATTTCCCACAGTACGCTACAAAACCTCAGCGGTTTATTCCTTGCTCTTTTATTATTGATTACTCTCACACATGGTCAAGGACGTAACTTCAGAGCAACTTTATATTCTACTGCTATGTGTTGCAACGTAACCTTTTTTTTCCCATAAAAGGAGTACGATACACCCTTTGATAGTACGCCAGAGGCTTTTCTCTTGTCTTTAATCATTGAACTTTTGTAGAAGCGTATAGGAGTCTATTATTGTGTCGTAATAAGTAGTTGTCGCGCAGAATGCGTATGTATTAGCGAGTATCAGGTCGAAGTGCCGCCAGAAATTAAGTGGCAGCACGTACTTTTGTGAAAAAAAGTTTATTAGTGCCATAATGGAAATTAATAGTAAAATTGCTGTTCAAAGGGGAGGCATTATGGTCTACTTCGGGATAAATTGGCTTACACGCTCTGTGAAAGGCCGCGCCGCGTAAAAGCTTTATTAATGTATATTTCTATGTGCAGGCAAGATAAAATTAGAAAAGCCCCGATGGAAAACCGAAAAAGAAAGAAATTTATTTATTATTTATACTTTTCCAGCATAGAATCTGATACGATTTCCAAATACTTATTTCTATGCTTGTATGGTTAAGAATAAAATTTATATTATTAATTTAACGATATTTTCTTTAAGCTTGTTGCACTTTCATATATAAGTTGAATAATATTTGAAGTTTTGTTATTTCATTGACAAGATATTGGTATTTTGAAAAAAGTTAGTAGTATAGAACTAATGGTTTCGAGATAAATTCGAGTTAAGCAATTAATAAAATGTAATGAAACGTGAACATCCCGATTTATTTTTCACTGTCATGATGTACTACGGTTTTAGAATAGTATGGTCCACCAGTAATGGAATTAATGTGCCCAATAATATATAATAGAATTAAAATCTCTGGCGTGATCAACTCAATTCTATCGCATTAATGATCGTAAAGAGAGTCAGCTGTTAAATAACGCTTCGCAGTTTCAATGACATTTTCTATAGCAGATAATGGATAATATGATAATTAACACGTAGGTAGATGCGATACATTAACATATGTTCATACCACACACCTCAGTTTTTTTCAGAATTCTTTAATAATTTCATTGATACTTTGAAACATTGAAACTTTTTTTTATTTAATTATATTTCATTGCATTGTTTTAAATTATATTTCGACTTTAAATAACTTTAATTCTGCATAAAAAATATATTTCAGTTTTGATAATATATGGAATATAATAATTCAATATATTATATTAAAACTTTAAAATCTACTTTTTATGCAGAATTATTATTAATTAGTTATTTAAAGCCAAAATATAGTTTAAAAGATAATGTAATAACAAAATATAATCAAATAAAAAAGTTTCAATGTTTGATATTAATAAAAATTAGTAAAAAATTACTTAAAGCAGTTATTTAAGCCAAAATATAAATGCTTATGCAATATTAATTCAATAGATGTATTAATTAATATGCTTCAATCAATCTATAGTGGTATTTTAACAATTGTTTAAGACAACATGACGAAAGAAATGTGAAAGAAATGTGAAAGTATAAGTATATGTGGAAAAATTTAGTGTATGTAAAAGTTCCTGTTTGTCGCGCATTGTAATTAAGACTACTTACTTGGTTGTTACAGCAATAAAATATCGTCAAATAATGACCGCTTGCTACGGTTACCGCGAACGCCGTAGTAGCTTATAATTAGACCAGCATCGCTTTTTTGTCCGGCTTTAGCCTATGTACAGATTATTCGGAGCACATAAATAATTAGTAAAAATGCCACTATAATTAATAAAATGCCATAATTATAGCTTGATCTAATTTATTGTACTTACTTTGCAGGCCAAAGCAAGCGATTATACCTGCCACTTTGTCGTGATAGCTCATTATGACGTCATGTTAGTTATTACAATAAAATATCGTCAAATAATGACCGCTTGCTACAGTAACCGCGGATGCCGTAGTAGCTTAGACCAGCACCGCTCTTTTGTTCGACGTTAGCCTATGTACAGATTGTTCGGGGCACATAAATAATTAGTAAAAGTACCTATTATGTTGTAGTTGAGAGTCAGTTATGATGCTTACTGTCACCGATGCTTGCCACCATTCGCCGCTGCTTACCGCCGCAGAAATCCCGCCAAAATGTAGACAGGTTCACTTCACGCAATTGAGAACCGCCTATGTGTCTGCGCAGAGCGGCTCTGCGCAAGCGTTTTCGAGCTTGTGCGTAAACCGCGTCTACGTTCTGGTGATATCTCTGCGGCGACGAGCGGCGGCAAGCCGGAGCAGGAAGCGGCCGCGGAAGCATCGTAATCTGACTGTCATATGATACAACAGGTACTGATTATTTATGCAAATGTTCCGAATAATCTATACATAGGCTAACGCGGAACAAAAGAGCGACGTTGGCCGAAGCTGCCGACGCGTGCGGTAACCGATCATTATCTGGCGATATTTTGTTGTCTTAATAATCAACATGGCGCCATAACGATTATTATGACGATAAAATGTCGGCAGATATGACCATTTAACCTACTTGGAAAGGAGAAAAAAGTAGGCGTTAACTGAAAATCAAATGAGGCTGTTCTGATATTCACTGCTAATATTGAAATTTATAGTTCACGTTACATACACTATAGCATTCAGTACTAGCAGTGATGAATATCGGAGCACGGTGAAATGTGCAAATTATTTCGAATACTGATTTATGTATTTTTTCAGTTAACATTAGTATAAAACAATTCTGAGTTAGTTTTACACTTCTTATGTATTTTTCCCACTTTGAATTCATTTTTTAATATAAAATTTTTCTTTTATGTTGTATTTTTTGTTTGCGTAAATGCTTCTTATATTGTTTTTTATACCTTATAATTTATCATTTTCTAGAATTTATTGTCCATAGAAGACCACTATGTGCTGTGAAAACTAAGTTTGTTGTACTAAAAAGTTCGATTATTGATCTGTGTGAGGACATCAATTTTCTGCTATTTTTAAAGCGAAGGCTTAACGCACACCAATGCACGCATCTCAAACAATGGTATGTACACATATATATTCCAACTGAAAGTCCTTTAAGCTCGGACTTAAAAGCTCCAAGGGAAAAACCGATTCTCAGAAACCCGATCAGTGGCTTATATGGTGTTCTTTTCTATAAAAGAAAGGGTTAAATATAACAAAGCAGATAAACTCTCTAATACACGATATTGTACAAAAATATAGTCTTTATGTATTTTATATACGATGATTATTTACTTTGTAAAATCATTCAAATTTCTAGAGTATACGATTTTTAAGCATTTAACATATAGCAAAATAATATTTATGAGCTTGATATAAACGTGTAACATAAATTCTGCATTAACGACAGTATATTATATTTTTTTCAAATAAAAAGCGTCTTTTATAAATATCACTTTTAAGAGTCTTTTGAAAATATCACTTCTATAAAATGTGCCACAGTGACAAATTACAAATTTAATGACTCAGTTTTAAATCACAAATATTGGTTTATTTTGTGTTTATAATTTGTATTTTTCATGACTAGTATACTTTAAAGCACACATAATGTTCCATAGAGCATTCTGTCTATTGGTCATAGTTCATACATTATAATAAAAGTTAAATTACAATAACATATCTCAATTTTTTACAAAAGACTTTAATATATTAATATTGGTGCAATATAAATTTGTATAATCTTTCTATATAAACCATAATGCAAAATAATTATGAAAATTAATATTTACTTATTAAAAACCAAATTAAAAAATTAAAAAATTAAAAATTAGGCTTTTCCGTTTGTTAAAACAGAAGGAAAAAGAAATGTTAAAAAGAGCTGTAGCAGGATCTAAATGTACATATTAAATGTTTAATACAATATAGTTAAACGTTTTAGGCAAGGGTTTGGCCATCTTCAATAAATAACAATTAAATATCGAAACATTTTGATAGTTAATTGTTATTCATTGAAGATAGCTAAATCCATGACCAAAACGTTTGATTATATTTAATTAAGGGCTCTTTTAGTCTTTTCTTTTCTTCGTTTTAATAAACGGAAAAGTCTTCTTTTTAATTGTTTAATTTGGTTTTAATTAGTAAATATTAATTTTTAAACATTTAATTTGAATATTTAGATTTTGCTGTGGCTATTTTAGCCCTTTCTTTTCCTTGTGTTTTAATATTTAGTGCACAATTAATTAGATTAATATCTAATTGTCTATACTCACTGTATCATGTTGCAAAATGGATAATCCCTATTTTGCATGCATTTCATCAGTGGGATATCGAAAATATCAATCAAATTGTTATCAAGATAATACGGATAATACAATGTGTGAAACGTTTATGCCAATCGATATTTTAGCGCATTGTAATTAGCATTTACAGATTCTACGGAATATTACGAATGTCGAAATGTTTCACCAGTATCGATGCATGTTTTTGGTGACACATGTACAGTATACTATATTCGCATGATACGCTTCAATGCGCGATACATCAAATTCACGTTGTACACGCATTCATCCAATTTTGTTTAAAGTCATTGCTAATATATACGGCTGTTAAAATTGTTTAATTTATCGCCGTTTATGCGATGAAACGACTGACACATGGCGTGTCACTTTTAAATTAGCGCTTAATGAATTAACAATATCTCTTAATCAGCAATTTGCTGGCGTGTTTGTCTTATCTATTTGATCTTGTTGGTATCGAGTAGCTCTTCACGTATATCGAACGATTTGATGACATTTCTGCATCATTTATAGCATTAGAACAAAATTTTAGCATCTTCAAGCTACGCCATTGTAGGGACTTCAGAGAGAAATACGATGCGTATCCTTAAGAGAGAGAAAAGCAAGCTTCTTCTTGCTTCTTTGCTAACTATACGCATTCTGGAAAGTTTACGAAGTGCCGTTGTATAGAGAAAACCGACCATTCTGAAAAATGTGCGCGTAAACAACTTGCTTCGTAATGCTGAAGTTTGAAGAACTTTTGCCGGTAGAAAGTCTTAGACCATATAATGTATGCCCTCGGAATTAATTAAGATTTGAAGATAGTTGAGTATATATATATATATATATATATGTATATATATAGGGCTTCGACTTTTAATGAAAGTTTACGAATATGGTTTGAAGAATTGTTTTCGAAGGAAACTCTCCAGGTGAGAACGCAACTTTAAACCAAGCTGCGGTGTAGCAGCGAAATTTCGTTGAGAAAAAGAATGTAGTAGTATCATTTATCTTGGGGGCAGATAACAATTTCATTTTCAACTTATGTGTTCTAAAATCAAAAGTGATGGAATTTTTTTAATAATTTGCATCACAATCCGCATAATAATCTGCAACAAATTTTAATACTGTTTATCTTATGATTTTTATATAAAATTTTTTTATAAAAAATTATGGGAGGTTTTATTATTCTCTGAACATAATATATTTTTATAAAATCTTTGGAAGAAATTGGATTATTCAAGTTGTTAAATCAATTTTGATTCAAAAATGAAATAATAGATATAGGTTTTATATTTTACTTTATTTTAATAATATGATTATCTTAATGCATTTAATGATATTATATACATAATATAAATTGCGATAAAACGTTTATTTAATTTTGCCTCTTTTTCAAGCTATTGTACGCCACGCGACATTTTGAGCTGCTTAAACTAGCCTTAATGGTTACTTTGTTGAATGCAATTACATCTTACATCTTACGAGATGAAAGAGAAGTTAAAATTTTACTTCAAGAGATATGAAATTACTGTTTTAACAACAATTTACAATTATAATTCAAGTAGTATTAAATCTAGTGTGTTAAAAGTAGATTTTATTTCTTAAAATCTAATATGTCTTTAAAAGAATATTTTTCTAAAAAGAAATCAAAATAATAATGCATAATAAATTTGGCATTTGCGAAATTTTCTCGAGAAACCTCTTAATTCAAATAAAAACTTACAAATAAGTAATAATTGTTATGTTGCAAGCATTTATCGCATCTGCAATGAATAGTCTGACTGATTGTCGGTATAAAATTGACTTTTTCTACTTGCTTACTGCGTTATTTTTTCCCATGAGATCTAACCGTGTTAGCGGATGGTGCGTGAGCTGCATTCACATCCGGGCTTGAAAATTCAGCTTTAAGGTCTACAGCCGCGACTTAGGAAGATATTCCTGACGAGCATATCAGGTAGACATTTTAGTGCTTTCGAGCTTGCGAGGCTAACGTAAATGTTAGCCTCTCAGTGTTGCAACTTCCACCTATCTGATACCACTTGGTTTTCGCGTTCTCATAGCCAAACCATAAGCGAAATACGATTTTATTTGAGTGTAATTAAATTAATAGTTGCAATAGGATACAGTTTTTGAAACGTAAAGAAAACACAGAGAAACACTGTTTTGAAAAAAGGAATTGTTTTTTATTTTTTAAAAGAATAATACGTTTGTTACGTTATTTATTTTCCAATTAAAGATAAATAAATTACAAAATAAAAGAAGCGAGAAATACCTGAACAAAATCTTTGTGCATCTCTTTGCATTATAACGTAGATCTAGATTATCGTCATAAGTGGAGATTGTGACCTCAATCCTGAATCTGCTAAAAGTCATTCGATTATGTAGATGCTGTTAGATCATGCTCTCACCAGAACTCATCTAATTATGCAAATGATGTGCATTATGGATGCGAGAATTGCAACGACTTGAGACGTTCTCACTGTTCCCCCTCGTTGGCATTTGATACTATGATCTTCACACTTCAGAAAGTTCACTTTCTGTACTATTACGGTTGCTATAATAGCAATTGCCATTAGCTATTGAGTGCTTTCTACTTTATTTTCCATTATCTCGAGAGATGCCTTTCCGATTTTTGAATGCGTGTTCAAATGCGTTGCCCATCTTTGCAAGTTAACGAAACAACTTTTCATTTCCGAAATAGTCCCGAGGAAGTGAATCCATGTTTGACGCCGTGTATCGAACTGCATTCTCGTCTCTGAATTCCGTTTGTATGACCGAGTTTTAGAATTTGTCGAATTTGTAGCTTTCATGTTTTTACCTGCTGCTTGTACTTCTGGAGAAGTTTCCACTTCTGTCAACGTCGCACAGCTCAACAGATTCTATTTTGTTGAAATTTAATTTCAGCACATCGTTTGTGACGCACGAAACCGTGTGATTTGTACAAGCAGTTGATACATACGATTGCAAAAACAAATTTTACCCGAGGCAAAGAAAACTTTTTGGCCACATTCTAAATAAAAAATATTTTCTTCCTTTATTTTAGTATTTCTAGTTTACTTTGTAATATTGTTGCATCTTCATATCTGTGTTGAAATAAACATGAGAATTCTGATAATAAAAAGGAAGAATAATTTTAGCATGTGTGAAGACAGTTACATTAAATAGTTTTATTAAATTAAATTAAAAAGGGGGAGGAGGAAGAAATAAAAATAGTCATTGAAAGTTCATTGTCAAATATTCCATTATATTCTGTTCTGTTTCAATGATAGATTTGCGGAAAGAGATATTTGCGGGTTATACTATTTGTCTTGCGTAAACTCTTGTAAGAGACATTAAAAGACATTAGTTTTACGAGCGGATTCCGTGTAAAATATACGTATGTCGAGTGCCTTGGTAAATTACGCAGACAATATATTAAATTCGCTGTATTAACTGCTGTCTTCTGTAGCTTTCGCGCCTCATATTTTGTCGTGTATCTCTGTATTAATGCGGAATTTCTTATTCAGCAGGAGAATCCTGCGCAGTTTCCCTTTCTGAAATATATCGTGCATCTGAATACGTAAGGATTTCAGAAAACAAAGGTGTACCGCAGCTTCTAATGGAGGTTGCTCACGTTGTGAGGCCGTTGAAAAGGAATTCAATGCGTGATATAATGTCGTGCATCGTTAATAGGACGTTCATTACTATCGTTAATAGTACGATATAAATATTGTTAATACTAGTTCTTGAATTTCACGCTGTCCTAACTGATGTTGGTTATGTTTATTGCAACGCTATTTAGTGGTAAATTATCGCGATTCTG